ATCATTCCTGTTCTGCTACTCACCTAGTAAGGAAGACATTCAGCACCCCTTGCCCACCTCCAGGCTGGCAGGAGCTTACAGTTCAGAAGTTTGGCAGCCAGGTCCCCAAGAGACTATCTCTTATCTCTGGACACCAAAGAGCACTTTAAGCAAGATTCTCTTTCATACAGCTAACACTCAGTGGGTGCTAGGCACCGTCCCTGAGAGCACCTGTGTTAGTGGGTCAGCGCTCACCCCACCTCTGCAGGATGTGACCACACGTGCCTGCCTGCCCCGACTGCCTAGAGCAGGAGGCAGATGTGGAGAGAGAGAGGGCTCCAGAAAGAGCCGCTGGCCTCCACACGTTGGCATGGGGAGGACTCTCGATTTGCCCACTCAGCGGAGAAAGCTCCTCCACGTCACAGCTCACTCACCCTCCCGTGTGGCCAGACTGCTTTGCCTGCTTGCTGTGGGATGAGATTGTAACAGAGACAGGTTTCAGGGACTCCGCTCCCACCCCAGATACTGGAACCCCAAATCCCATCCGTACCAAGGAGAAGCACGCTGGGACGTGAGGGCGGAACTGAGCAGCCAGGTTGGGATAAAGCCCGACATGTGGCTCTGAGGGTCTCTCTCTTGGCCTGGTTCGCAGCTGATCGTTTGGCTCTCGATGAGCTTTTGGGTGTGCTGTTGGGGTTCCAAGTCAGCAGACCTAGTAGGACATTCTAGTTCACTTGTATTGCTCTCTCTTTCCTTTCTCTTTGTTCCTTTTACCTTTCTCCTTGTAAATAAACCCATTGGGCAGATGAGCTGCCAGAAGCATAGTTTCCTGTCTGCTTGGAGGTTTTGTGGGATCTGGTCTTCCTAAGTGCCTGCATTCTGGCAGACTGTGTGTGTGTGTGTGTGTGTGTGTGTGTGTGTGTGTGGAGGGGGAGGGAGCACAGCCTGGGGCTTATCAGACAACCAGAGCTAGGCAGAAGAGGTTAAAGTGCAGATCAGGGAAGGGTCATTGAAACTGCCTGAGGCTGGAGCGCTGTGCCTTGGGAAAAGCTTGACTTGGAGGTGGGGGACGAGAGAAAGGGCCATTGGTTTAGTCTTGGAGCTGGTTTTTAGCACTAAACCAAGCATGTTCTGAGAGTTGGGAGGTGGGGTAGTTGGGTATTTTAGTAGATTTTTTTTCTGCTGTGCCATGTGGGTCACCTCCCTGGCTGGGGATCGAACTCGTGCTACAGTGGCTGCAGATAGCTTTACAGTGCTGCGCATTAAGCCCTTGCACCACCAGGGAGGTTCCTATTGAGAAGATCTAGTCTAGGCCTCTAGCCAGTGTTTTGAGAAGGCTGTCCTAACCCAATTTTAATGGCAAAACAGAAACTTCTTCCCCTTTCTCTCCCTTACCCCATCCTGTTGGCAGACTTTGAGGTTGTGTGAATCCCATTGATGTGGGTGTGGGAAGTGGGGGCCACCTATGCTTGCAGTAGGGATAAAGGGGTTCATGGGGTCCCACTGGATGCCCAAGTACTCCCTACCAACTAAAGCCCCTTGTTTTGTGCTTAAGTCATCTGAGAGCCCCATGGACTGGGACAGGTGTAATGAAAATGAAAATACCTTCCAGTGGCCTTGATGTCGTTTTTTGGAGTCAGCAAGTTTGGAGTGAAGGGTGCTTGGGTTCACTCTGGGAAAGGTTACTCTGTCTCCCTGGACCTTGGCTCCTAACTGGTCAAAGGAGCCCTGGATGCTGAGGCTCTTTGTTAATTACTAAAGGCTCGCAGCAGCTGGGGACTGCCTTTGGAGACTGTCCTGGGGCTCAACCTCATACTCCACTTCAGTGGAGCTTGGGTCTTCCTCCTGCTTCTGCTTTCACAGCTGCCCACCTGCACTGAGGAAGACCAGGGAGGCCCAGGCAGACCAGGGCATGGAGGGTGCCCAGCCGGGAGGTGGGAGGAAGGTCTCCCAGAGCCTCCCTGCTCTGTGCCTGGCTCCTACTGGCAGCCTGAGCCTTCCCTCCCGAGCTGATCTTGGAATGTAAACCCCAAGCAAAGCACATTCTTCAGCCAGGTCAGTGGCTCCTGGCCTTGGAAGGGAAGGTGGGAGCCAGCATTTCTCTGGCCCTGAAGGGTACTAGCACAACAGTGCCAGGACCATCATCCCCGGCCTGGATGGCAGCCTCCCCCCAGGTCTGGCACAGCAGACCTCTCCTGTCTTACCCACTGCTCCCCTCAGCAGTGTACTTCATAGATCTGCCTGCTCTGCTCCCCACTCTGTCCCCGGTGAATCCTCTCACTGCCCCTGTACCTCTGGCCTGTACCCCAGTTCTGTATGCATAAATAAATCTTAAAAAAAAAAAAAAGAATTTCTTCCCATCTCTTACCAGCCATGTCTCCTAGGTTAGGGACAGGGTCTCGGTTCTGTTTCTTCCAGAAGACAGGTTGGGATAAAGCCAGCCACACCCATCTCCTGTGCTGGATCTGAGAGTCAGGAAACCACCACCAGTGTGATGCAGGAGGTTCTTAGAGAGGACTCCCCAGGGAAAGCACACAAAGAAGAGAGATTGCCACGCTCACGCTCGAGGTCTCAGGCGTTCTGCTGGCCCAGTGGATGACCCTGGAAAACTTGACGATGTTTCCCTGAGGACCCCACCCAAACTGGGGATCTTTCTGATAGTGGGGATCTTTCTCATTTCCTCAAAAGACACTCCCCAGTCCCACTGGTACCTGTCTAATCACAGTGTTCACCCACTCCAATCTCTCAGTAAGCCCCCAATTTCCCAAAGGAGAAAGGTCCAATTCTCAGCAAAGCAAGGCGGACCTTTCTTTATCTGCACCATGGGCATTTCCTGCTCATCTTTCTAGATTCTTCTCTATGGGTATTCTGTGCCCCGCGTAAGCCAAACGCTCCCTCTGTGGGTTAGAGCATGCCTCCGCCTCACCAACAACCTCAACAACAAAACCCACAGTGCAGGTCCTCTCCGACTGGATGTGAGCCAGTTCACCGAGAGAAGGTAGTTCTTAGCTTTATTTTGCCTGTTTTATAAGAAAATAAATTCAAAGTTAACAACAAACCCAAGATCAAGCCGCACACGACAGTGTGAACCCAGTTCCCTTGCATCAAGACCTAGTACCATCTGTCTCTCCTGGGCTGTCTCCCGCCTCTCATAGTCAAGTTTGAGATTCATCTTCTGGAAATCTCCCTGCCGCCATCAGTTCCTTTCCACTCTGCAGCCACTGTGGCTGGGGGACCTCTGGGAAGAACTAGCAAAGGCAGACACTGATCTCATGAAATAGTAACAGTGGAGCTTGTGCACTGACCCCCTCCCAGGATGCACCTGCTGAGAGCAGCGCTGTGCCAAGGTGGTGCCATGTGCTTCTGGGCAGACAGCAGACTGAAAGCTCAAGTCACTTCAGGAACGTTCTAGGCTCATATCGCATTAAGAAGCCCTTCTGTACTCGCTCTATGGGCAATTGCCTGCATCCTTGCGGTCTGCACGGGGCACCCTTCCACACTACAGAGCAGTGGTCTGCCTGTGTGTGGTCTCATTTGTGGCTGAGCAGTGCTGCAGTCATGGAGTGGAAGTCAGACCCGTTCCCTCACTAACCCATAACCTTGGGCAAGTCACAGAACCTCTTCCAGCCTCAGTTTCCTCATCTGCAAAATGGGTAAGAACGACCCATATCAGAGTTAACCTGAGGATGGAGCTGGAGATGCATCAAGGCCCTTGTTTTACAGATTGGGAAATGGGGGTGGGGAGGTGGGGAGAGGTTTTCCAGAGACAGGCAGGATGAAAAATCTCCAGGAGGTGTAGGGAGTAAGGCCTAGAGCCAGATCTTCCCCTCCAAGCCCCCAGATTGCTTCCCTGGCCCTTTGCGGGGCACCTCAAAGTCTCCCCAGCATGGACTCCCAAAAGGTGCCCTCACTAATGGCCTGTTCTCATCCTGTTGCAGAGCTTGGAGGGCTGGTTGTGCCCCTGTAGATCTGACCTCCTAAAATGCCTCAGTTCACATAGCTAGTGCCACTCTGCGTGCTTAGAATCCCCCCCCAATGACTTGGCTTCCTCTTTGAAAGCTGAAGGTGCCCCTTTTTCTATAAACACTTGGGGGAGGGTGAGAAGCAGCAGTGTAGAAATGGAGGCGGAGAGAGGAGGGAGCAGGGCTGAACCATGCAATGGCTCCCCTGAGGCTCTCCTCCACCCCTCAGAGTTTCCAGCTCCCTCAGCCCCTTTTTCTAAGAGTCGCTTCAGGGAGCTGAACAGAAATAGGGGGTTCCAGAAGCGCTAGGGATGGCGCCTCTGCTGTCTGCTCGCCAGGGGGCGCCCGTGGCCACTGGATGCACTGGGTAGGGAGGCGGGACTGGCAGCAGGTGGCAGTGCCCTCGGGGCGGAGCCAGGGAAAGCTCAGGTTTCCAGAGAGGGAACGCCCCATAGGCCACAAAGACCCTGGTCCCTGAGGGTTCACGGAGGCAGCACCTGCCCCGGGTGGGGACCAGTGGTCCTGCCGCTGACTTCCTGCATGGAACTCCACCACAGTCCCTCTGGGAGTGCACTGTCTTCATCTGCAGCCTCAGGGCCAGCAAGGCTTTAAAAAAACGAACTGACCATCAGAAAGAGGCGCCTGGTGAGCTAAGGGGAGGCCTGCTCTTCAAGCATATTTTTAGTCAGGAAGCTAAGGTCCTCTCCACTTTGGCCAAGGAAAGAGCGTCCGTTGAATGGCTGGAGGTGACGCCCAAGTAATAGAAGTCACTTGAGAGCACCACATTTCCTTATGCCATACTGGGAGCCGCAGAGCCGGAGAGGAGGGAAATGGGCTGCTGACCGGGAGAGAGGCGACTGGCCTGAGTGTGGAGTGATGGCTTAAAGAAGGAACCTCCTCACTTCGAACAGCCAGGAGCTCAAAGCTACCTGGGGTCTGTGTTAGCCCCAGAATGGCAGTGACATTTTACAGGGCTCCCTCTACACATCTACCCCCTCACCCCCACCCCACACCAGGGTGCCAGAGGAGATAGGAATATAGATTTTAATCATTGTGCTGCTGCTGTGAACTGGAGTGCAATGAATCCAGGCTTGCTGGGTTTGGATGCCACAGTGTGGACGAGAAGGTTTCAGGCAGAAACTCTGGGACTGTTGGTGATTGGGGGATGGGAGTGGGGGGGGCTGGGCTTCTGGTGGGGGTGGTGGCAGAGGGAGAGCTGGAGTGAGGAGAGGAGGGGGAGCAGACCCTGGGCTGGTGTCTGCTCCATCCTTCTTGTCACATTCCCTTCAAGGACCCCAACAGGCAGGGGTCCTTCCTGGCCGAGGCTGCTGACCGGGCCTTGCGGGCGAGCCTGCCTGCCTGCCTTCCCATGGCCACCTCCAGTGCCAAGGCGGGTTCTTGCAGAGCGCAGGCAGTCCAGGCCGCCACAGCAGACAACCAGGCAACAAGCGGATGCAGACAGAGGGAGAGGAGAGAGGTCCGAGACATCCCCACTGACCTTTCCTCACTGCCCAGCCTAAGAGACCCTCAACTGGTTCTGAGCTGGGAACGGACAGCAATAGCTGCTCATCTTCAGGTCCGAGCTGTCTGCTGTGGCCTCTTACCCCGGAGACAGGCTGGGGGGTCTCACAAAGAGGAGGTGACTGCCCTGTACCTCCGCTGCCTGGGCAGTGGTGAGGACTCATCCCAGCACCAGCTGGACTTCAGAATCGTCGGGACTGCTTATAGATTCCTGGGGCTGGCTAGGTTTGGAGGTGGCGAGAGATCAGTGCTGGGGTGGGGCCCCACCCAGGGCTGACAGCGTGGCCCCCAGGAAGGAGTCCGGGCTGCTTCCTCATGTCGAGAGGGGCGCGAACAAGTCCAGGGTGAAGGCGAGGGGCAGCTAGGAGTCAGAGACACACAGGGCTTCCACTGCGTCACTCAGGCCCTGGTTGACACCCCCCACAGCCAGGAGGCAGTTCTTGATGACGATGCTGGAGCAGGCACAGCGGGGGGTGGGCATGGCGGGCAGGACCTCCCATTTGTTCTTCCCTGGGTGGAAGGCCTCTGCCGTCTCCAGCACAGTGGGTTGGTTCCCTGAAAGCACCAAGAGAGCCGGACCTTACAAAGGAGTCCAGTCACCCGCCCTGGCCTTGGTCACTCCACCCCCCCAGCCGGGCAACCACAACTTCCTGGACTACAGGCTGCTCCTCCTATGTTCATCTCCTCAAAATTGAGGAGATGACGAGGCTTTCGGGCCCTCCGTGGTAGTGCAGCGGGTTAAAGCACAGCACTGAGAAGCTAAAGCCACTTCAGCATGAATTCCATCTGCCGCCCGGGAGCTGACCCACAGGGCGCAGCAGACCTCTCCTGACTTGCCCGTTGTTCCTCTCAACCATGTATTTCATCAGTCAGCCTGTTCTGCTCCCCACTCCGTTTCTGGTGAATCCTCTCACCACCCCTGCTCCTCTGTCTTGCACCCCAATTCTGTATGCATAAATAAATAAATCTTTAAAAAAAAAGAGAGAGAGACTTTCTTTCTCTTTACCTTTGCCAGAAATTTCCAGCTGCCCTGGTTTTCTGGCCTTTCACTAAAAAGGTGGCCCACGTGGCTTCGTCACATCCAGCTCTTTTCATGCATGATTAACGTGGTGTTGTGCCCACTGAGTAAACTCTGAGTGTCCCCAAGCTCATATGCCCCTCGCTGTTGGGGTTCTTCCTGCCTTCAAAATGCTCTGGGAAGCAAAGCATGACTTAGTAGATTGGTTTATTTGCCTTTTCCAAGATAGAGACCCCAGGAATAAGAGTTGGGGCAGAGAGTGAGGACCACGCTGTCTACACCACACTGTTCTACCCCCTCCTCATGGCGCCTGTGCTCAGGGTGTTAGGTGGGTGTCAGCATCATGTCACCAGGCTCTCTGGGCCTCACTGTCCCCTGTGTATGAGCACAGAAAAGCCCCACAGAGGCATGTGAAGTCTGGGCCAGGAAGAAGGGGCTATTTCGATTGTTTTGGAAGGAAGCAGTGTGCAAGCACTCTCTCCTGCTCCCACAGAGTGCCAAGGGCCCAGCAGACACTAGAACTACAGCACTGGCCTGGAAACCCCATCCTTACCCAGTCCTCCAGCCACCACGATGCGTCCACTCAGAGACCCGGCCACGAAGTCTGCACGCCGCTTCTTGAGGAAGAACGAGCGTTCCATTTTCAGCCACCCGCCTGCGAGCCACAGGCAATGAGAGGACTTGAAATTAGAAGCTCCGCTCCCACCAAGCACACCCAGCTTGACCTCCTGTTCTAAAGATTCTTCACTCTGTCCACCCTGTGGCTCAGAGCACACACACCTGTTGCTGCCAGACATAGCTTTCTGAGCACCCCACCCCAGCTCAGTGCAGCTCAAGGAGCCCCAACCCCCACTCCCTGTGATCCCGTTCCCCTCGGGTCCACCTGCTCCCAAACAGAGGCACCTAACTAGCAGAGAGTAGGAGCTGTGAGGTCTGTTTCTCCATCAGTAAAAACCAAGAGAAATCGCTCCCTCGCCTGGCACCATCTAGATATTGTAAGAAGAGACAACACATGGCAAAGTCTCTGATTAACCAGTCAAAGGGGCGCCCTGTACAGAAATTATCCCAAAGGAGAGGGGCGGTGGGACTTCTGAAGGGCTCAGCCAGCTGGTAAGGGGACCAGGTCGGGATGGGGGTAGGCGCTGGACAAGCGGGTGCGGGCACCCAGCTCACCCTGCTCCATGTCGAACACGTCCATGGTACGCAGGAACTTGGGCTGCCGGTAGAGACGACCCTGCCGCAGGCCTCCCAGACTGTATAGGCGGTCGTCCAGCGTCACGAAGCTGGAGAAGGCCCGCTTGCAGGGGATGTTGGGGAACTTGGTCCAGGAGCGAGTCTCAATGTCAAAGACCTCGAAGGCGTTGACTGCATACTTGGACTGTCGTCCCCCTGGAGGCCAGAGGGGGGCAGGCGTTGGGCAGTTCCTGGGGACAGGGGCTGAGTGTACCTGCCTGACTGCTCCCCATTCAAATGGGGCGCTCCCTGAGGGGTGGGGAGGCATGACCCCCTCTCCCCCATGCCAAGATGATGCTCAGCACAGTGCTACTTCCCACGGGGCCGAACCAAAGTGGGCGGGAGGGACAGGTGCAGCGCAGATAATCCCTCTTACCCAGCACGTAGATCTTGGAGCCTCGGAGGAAGGAGGTGGCAGCGTATCTCGGGGTGGGCATGGGTGCTAGCGACACCCACATGTCCTTGAGCATGTCGTAATGCTGCAGGTGGTTGTGTGGACGGAGGTCCAGGCCCATCCCGCCTGCCGCGTACACTCGGTAATCTAAGGAGAAAGGCCGCACCTCCCTCAGCTCACGGATGCGAGCGTGAGCGGCCCATCGACTCAACCCCAACCATGCCAACCCCTTGGACACCAGCACCGAAGCCAGGCCCCGCTGCCAGACCGCTCCACAGTGAGTCATTAATGGGGTGACAGTGCCATTCAATGGGGGGCCGTCTGCCACGGCCAACCTGGCTCTTCCAGAAGCCACGTCAAGCCCACACGCCTCCATAGGTGTCTGGCCCTTGGTTAAGCCCCAAACACTCTACAGAAAAAGACTGTGGTAAAGCTGGGGCCTGGACCAACCTGTCTTGTCCCTTTCATCCTCCTCGCTCCTGTGACGCCAGAGGGGATGCTGAAGAGGAGGGGGTTCCTCTAGCGCCCCCCCCAATCTTGGCCTGTTCCCCATGTACCCCCAGGCCAGAACTCGACTAGTCAGGGGACTGTGGCAATGAGGTCAGCCCTGCTGCCACTGGCCTTGCTGGACACGACAGCGCTGGTTCCCTCTACCGCCTTTCTCCTCCATGGAGGGGAGGGGGGTGATGTTGGGGGGGGATGTCCAGGAGGGTCCTGCACCACATGGACGAGGACTTGCAGAGAAGAGTGAGGCTTCGCAGGTAAGGAAACTGCTCTGGCAGCAAGAAGTGAGCCCCCGCCCGGATCTCCACTGTGAGCGGCTTCTCACGGCCTGTCCAGCTGCACAGAGAGGATGGCTAAGCCTCGGCCGGGCCCTCCGTGGTCTGTCCGCTCGCAGCCCCCTTGTTCCCCAGGAATGCCTTCCTGCCTGGGAGTCTGTCTCCCGGAACCAGTCTTCACTGCTTTTTGCTTTAAGGGATCTTTTTTTTATTTCCCAAGGGGCTGCAGGGACGAGTACTATATTCTACTTTCCAACCTGTCTTTAAAAAAAAAAAAAAAACCTACTCTAGCCTGGGTAGGAGATGGGACTGTTAGGGAGATAATTACTCAGCCTGAGCGCCAGCTCTCCCTCCTCTGCGCACCTGAAACTCTCCGCTTGGCCGTGAAGCCTCCTGTGTCTCACCCCATTCCTGAGCTCAGCTCTCTTGCCCCCTTTCAGATTCACCTGTGTCCGGAGCAGCAAGGCGGGGCTGAGCGCAGGGTGCCGGCACCATCATGTTACTGAAAGCGTCTGTTCCCTTCAGTAGATTATTAGGTCTCTGAGAATTGGGTAAGCGGGGGCCCCGACATCTGCTCCAAGGCATGTAATGCTTATTAAATTAGCTGTTGAACCCATTCCTTGCCATAGTTAAGAGCCTAGACCTGATCATCACCCATGCGCTGTGTAATCTTCGACAATTAACCTTTCTGAGCCTCACTTCACTTTCAGTGAGGACATTGACTGCACTTACCTCTCAGACGGGTCTGATCATCAAAGGGGTTAAATGTTAGTTCTTAATCTTTCAGCACCACCGACTGAGGCTTAGCATGAAAGAGTGCTCTTTCCTCCTTTACTCTTTGTCCCTCCTCTGTCTCTCTCCCCACAGGCCTCCATATGGTCCATCCTTCTTTTTTATTTTTTTGCGTAGAAGAACTGGGGTGTAGGCAAGAGGTCCAAGGGGTGAGAGGATTCACCAGAGACAGAGTGGGGAGCAGAACAGATGGATCAACTGAAATACGCTGCTGAGGGGAGCAGCAGGTGAGACAGGAAAGGTCTGCTGAGCCCTATGGGTCAGCTCCCTGGCTGGGGATTGAACTCAGGCTGTAGCAGTGATAGCGTGAAAATTAACTCCTAGGCCACCAGGGAGACCATGTCCATCCCTCTTACTGGGAGTTTGTGGTGGCAGTATTATTCTGCCCCAAGGGATTCTGGGCCCAAGTTTCTGTCTGGTCACTTTCACCGATCAAACCCAGGCTCCTAGAGGCAGGAACCATATCTTCTGCTTCTTTCCTTCCTCCTGGGGACCCAGAACTGTGTCGGAGCAGGGGCTCAAGAAATGCTGGTGCCTGTCTGCCACAGACCCAAAACGCAGCTGGGCGGTTTTGCAAGAGAGTGAGAGAAAATGCAACCTGGGGTCTCCTATTGCTATTGGACCTTTTCCCATAGGAGATCAATCCCTTTGTGCTTTATTTGGCAAAGGGCTTTCAGCACCCTCATGCTCTAGGGCGTTCCAGATTGGAAAGGAAGGAAATAAGGAATCCAGACAAAGCAAAATGAGCATATAAGACCACGAGCCCAGCACATACATGTCCTGAGGACTTAATAAGCCTGGGCAGGATGCTGCAGGTGTATATACTCCTGGGGGCCACGCTGGGCTCCACCCATCAGCCTTTGAGATTAGAGGCTGAGGGTGGAGAATCTGGTTCTTAAGCTCTCCCTATGTGGCCTGGTGAAGTTACAGATGGAGTGACCCTTCCCAGGACCCCAAATGCGTGTCTGGAGGTGGTGGTACCTGCAAAGCAGACTTCAGAAGGGGTGGGGGGATAGTGAGTGGGAGGGGCCACTCTCTGCTGAATGAAGGGGTTCTGCAGAGAAAATGCACTAGAGATGGAACTGCCCCTCTGGCCAGGCCTGCCCACCTGGGAGAAGCCCGGTGGAATGGAGCTCTGACATCACAGGGGATTACCAGGCACGTCACTGCTGAGTCTGTATTCTCATTTGTAAAACATGGCCAGCGCCTCTCTAGTTTTAGTGCCTGTTGTAAAGCTCAAATGAGAACAACACTGCCATAGTCACATTGCATTGTGACTGTCGAGAATCCCAGGTGACCAGTAGTGTTGGCCTTCATCCCTGCCAGTGGGGGGGCCCCCCTCTGTCTCAGCTTCACCCGCCCACAGCCCTGACCCCACTCGCCTTTGGCCGTGACAGAAATGCCCATGGCGGCCTCTCGCAGAACGCTCCTCTTCTTCCACTTGCCCTCATCGATGTTGTACATCTCCACGACCTTCAGGGGCAGCTGGTTGGAGCCCACGCCCCCGATCACCATGATCCGCTTCCCCAGGGCGATGATGGCCACCCCGGCCCTGGCCGTAGGCAGGGGGGGCAGGGCTGTCCACTGGTCGGCCTCGGGGGCGTAGACCTCAAAGCAGTCCATGGGGACGCCATTGTCGTCACATCCCCCGATGGCATAGACCTGCCCCCCGGTCTCCAGCAGGGAGCAGTACACCCGGCGGCTGGGCAGTGGCGCCAGGCGCTTCCACTGGAAGTCCTTGACGTTGGGC